GCAAACCTCTTTTCCTCCCTTCTATTGTAAGCAGCCTACGGCACCCAGCCCACCCTCCCCTCACCCAGTGGGTGTAGCACTGACACCATCTTCCCACCCTCTTCTTGCACAGAATAGGGATGTTTATAAGGTGAGGCCTCTCACTAGACTTAACTGAGACTGATGGCACACATCACTCAGGAGGCTGAGGCAGGAGGGTAGAAAGGCTTTCCTGGGCTAATAGCAAATTCAGTCTCAGCTGGGACTATGTAACAAGAACCATACAGAAAAGGATAAAGGAGAGGAAGAAATGGGACTGAAAAACAGAGAATCATTAGAGGAAATTTAAAAAAGATAAAATTGATAAATAGCAATCAAGACTGATCAAGTACCAGGCATGAGGACATGAATGCATGAGATAACTAAGGCCATTTGGAATTAGTAAAACTTTTATTGTGCTTGTGCTTCTTCCTAGCAGCATTTTTATTTGTCTCTAAAAATCTTTCAGTTTTTTACCCCTAAAGATCCCACATCCATTTGTTTCAAAACCATCCAGTCAGAAGGTGGGACAGCAAAGGGGTGGAGCAGTGGGGGGGAACAGGTGAAACAAAGTTGTCATGTATTGACACTTACTGAAGCTGAGGACATAGCTCGATGGCAAAGTACCTGCCTAGCAAGCGCCAGGTCATGAGTTTGATCCCCGGTACCAAAAATGTCCACCTGATACTTACTAAAGCTGAGAAATCAATTACTATACCGTTTTTACTATGTTAGCATACTTGAAAATTCCCATGATAGAAAGCCATTCTGAGGAGCAAAATGAGTGAAATGGAGAACAATACTATTCCTGCAGGCAGGACATGATTCATAAATGTATATCTCATTGAGAAAAACCATTCAAAAGCCAAAATAAGCAGCCAAGTACAAAGCATATCTGCATAGCCATAAGTGTATCTACATAATTATCTATTCAGCCCCTCTCTTGACACTGACCTCCACTCCTTGGTCTGCACTGGCCAAGGAATGACCTTCCACATCCAAGTGCTGCTCTGGACCCTAACGGCTTCCTCCTGCCTCCCCCAAGTCCATCAGACTCCTCTGGACAAGGCCTGCTGTAGGGCCTGCTCATGCCCTGACAGTGCTTTTTTCCTTGTGGACCAAGTTAGTGAATGTTATGCCAAATTGAAAGAATCTCAGCTAACATGAGCACCAGACAAAGATGGATTTAAATCCATGTGATGGCAAAATAATTTAGTCATGTAGAACTAGAGCTTTGATTTCCTTGGGGTGTAGGAGTGGGCCCTGAAGAAAGCACCAATGTCTTTTCAAATTTATGATGATAAAATCATTGATGAGTAATTATTTTCTACTCCTCCCCAGGCTTTTCTCCCCCTGCCCTATCATTATCAACGTTTGCTACAGTAATTCTCAATTGCTTTAGAGTTTTGATATGCTCATGCTTATGTAACTATCCTCCATCTCTTCTAAAGAGACCCACCAGTGTAAATTCTTTTTAAAATTAAAGTTGGTCAAAAATATCAATTTATGGCTGGGGATTTAGCTCAGCGGCATAAGCACCTGCCTTGCAAGCAGGCGGTCGTGAGTTCGATCCCCGGTACCGATAAAAAGGAAAAAGACAAAAAAAAAAAATATCAATTTATTACAATGGTTCTGAAAACTTTATCTTGACTCCTGAAAGAAAAAGGAGTGGTAATAGATGCTGGCGATGAACATGGGAAACGGTAAGCATGTGAAGACAGCACTGGATCCTGTGCACACCCAGCCTTCCTTGAGCTTTAGGAGCCTGATGATGATAGGAAATCTCCCATCCTTTTTGGGTTCTGACCTCCCAAGTTCTAGGCATGTGGGGAGTGAGCATACAAATGATATATCTAGACCTACATTTGAGATATCTAGAATCACATTTATAGTTCCATCTCACTTTTTTCTTTCTTTTTTTTCAAATGGTGTATTGGTTGTTTTCTCATTGCTGAGACAAAATATCTGATGCCCACAAGTTAAGGAGGAAAGGCTTATTTTTGGCTCACAGTTTGCAGAGGTTTCAGTTCATAGCTGGTTATATCCAAGGCAAGGTGGCATGGCAGAAGAGAAACAGTTAATGGCTAGCAGACAGGAAGCAGAGAGGGATCAAGGAAGTAGAAAGGGTATATACTTCCAGGCTATGCCCACAGTGACCCACCTCTTCCCACTAGGCTTCACCTTCCAGTATCACATTCAGCTATAAGCAAATTAGTCCATTAGTCCATGATCCAGTCACCTTCCTGATGCCCCAGATATGAGGCTTCAGGGGGATTGCTAGATATAAAGCATAACACATGGCCAAACTGATGCATAGCCATGCTAAATAAAGTTTGTTCATGGTTACAAAGATTTTTAGGAAAAGAACAGAGTCCAGGTGTTCCAGCCAATCTTTGACTTTATCCTGCCTTCTTGCTGAGCTGGAAAAATAATTCCTGGGTCAGGGAAATTTAAAGTACAAATTTTCCAGAGAAAGGAGAAGTCGTGTTGATGAGAGACAAAAAAGAAGGGCTTGATATTTTAGCCAGAGAAATTCAGCTGGACTCCTATTGCAAGTTTTTGGAGCAGTGAAATGATGCAGAGAAAGCTAATAATGTAGAAACCTGGATTCAAAGTGCATCCTTGCTATGAATGATGGTGCACATCTATAATCCCAGCATTCTGGGAGGTTGAGACAGAAAGATCTCAAATTAGAGCCTACTTGGACAGCTTATAGAGACAGTGGCTCAAATTTTAATTTCTTTCAATAGCACTTGGGATATATCTCAGTATAAAGGCGCTAGCTTCAATCTAGCACCACAGAAAGAAAAATAAATAAATTCCCCCATGGATTTGTGATACTTTAAAAGATCAGTAACAGGTGAATCAGGCAAGGAGAACACCAAAATAAAGAGTAGGGACTTCAGAGACAAAGTTTAATGAAGCAAAGAATGACTCAAGAATCAGACATCCCTCAAAGCCAGAACAGGGTCAGAGAACTTTGACTTGCACCATGGGCAGGTGGTATTTATAGACAAGAAATGGAATGAGGCCCAATTAATTACAACTCCATGTTTGCCTTATCTGAAGTTGTTCTCATCAGTTGGCCACCCATTACTGGTTTGGGCTCAACTACAATGATTGGCTGAGAATGAGTTATTTGTTATAAAAATATACCCCTGTGTTAAACATTAGATTAATTTACATACTGATAAGATGCTCTTGTAGCTTGTATCTAGGTGTCCCCCAAAGCTCATGTGCTTATAGGTGGTGCTTTTCAGAGCTATGGAGCATGATAGTGCATTAGTCCACTAATTGTTTTTGCATAGCTCTGGATCTGGATAATGAGAAGGCCCAACCTGTGTGTGGGTGGCACCAACCAATAGGCTGCAGTCTGCATGGAATAAAAGGGAAATGGAGGCTTCTGCTTGCTGCTTTGTGCCTACCCTGCCATGGACTGTTTCTCCTCTGCCATACTCCTTTGCAATACCTCTCTGCCTTGTAGTCAGCTAACTATGAACCAGGGGACCATGGCAGGAGGACAGGCAAGCGAAGAGGGTGGACGTGGTGGTGCAAGGAAGTTTGTAGAACTGTGGCTTACCGCTGGTGGACCTGCGGCTGTACCAAGTACAGGTGGTAGAGAGAGAGGAGGCAGCAGTGCTGTGTAGGGGTTCTAAAACAGAAGAGAAGGCAATCAGGCAGGTTCCTGAGGGAAATCAAGAGCGTTAATCTGGCCACATTGCACCTGAGAAGGCAAATTGTAATTCAGGTAGAGATGCTGAGGAGACAACCAACATAGGACTGTGATGCTCGGAGAAGAGAAAAACAAAAAGGACTGTTTATGGCTAGGAAGCAGAAGAAATGTATTATTTCCCCATTTTCTGCTTTCTTGGTTAATGAAATAGAAAAGTCTAGAAACAGCAATTATGTTAATTTTTTCCCTACATGACAAAGTGGCATTTCACTTATGCTATTACTATAGACAGCTAAAGTAAACATATTATAGGCAGTCAAACAGGGCTAGGTCCCCAAAAGAGCAAGTATAAAAGATAAAATATAACTGTGGGTAGAGGTATATTTATCAGAGGCCAGAACTCAAAACAACTACACCCACATATGTCCCTAGAGATAAACACTAATGACTGATATTCTAACAGACATCAATCACCTGTGTAGGGGGCAAAAAGAGTCCCTGACCGACCCACCCCCTCAAAAAAGGTCTTTGTTCTTTCCATACACGCTTCCTACGTGACTTGCTTTCCCATTAGATTAGTATTATCTACGTGACTACACTTACAATCTTAATAATTGATCATAGTTTTGTCCCATCTTATACATACCTCCTGATTTTGTCTATAAAGCTTCCCCTAAAAAGTGGGCTTCTCCACCACCACTCAAGACCCCTACTGTCTTAGAAGCTTTCTTTCCCCCAATAAAATTTTCCTGCTCTTAACCTTTGCTAGTCCTGAAAATTCATTCAATTTTAAAAAAAATACAAACTCGGCACATCAGACATTTAGCAGGTTAAGAGTTAAAATATTTCCCTTAGATTATGTAGAGGTCCTCTTATCACGTTTTTGTGAGGATAAGTCAGCACCTTTAAGAGACCTGGAAAAGTGCTTGGCATATATTAAATGTGTGCTTGCTGTCTGGCTTCAAAAAAAATTCAACTCTTCTACCGTTAAAAAAAAAAAACATTTAATATTAAGGAATTTTATGACAGAAATCAAACTACAAAAGTGAGGTGCAACACTCTGAGATGAATAGTTGAATTTCAGCATAAACCAGGTCTGCGGGGCCTCATGCCATAAGGAAACTACAGGTGTCAGAGAGAGCCGACCAGGTGGATGACAGAGAGGCAGACAAACTCCGAGGTCGGGCCTTGCTACACCAAGAACCCGGCCTCCTGGCTCAACCAGACTGCGCAGCACGGAACTGGCAGGGTGAGCACCACCTCCCACTAGGCATGCCTGCGCGCCAGACCGGAAGTGCAGGAAACCGGAACCTCTCTGCAGTCAGGGTGGGTTTCCGGAAGGAGCCTGGGTCCTGGGGTCCGTTTTGGCGTTGCTAGGAAGTTGGCTTCCGCGGTGGTCTCCTGTGTCTGAGTTTCAGCGGGGAGGAAGCGGAGCGCGGGCCATGAGGCAGAAGCACTATCTCGAGGCTGCGGCGCGAAGCTTACAGGATAGCTGCCCTGGCCAAGCCCGCTATCTCCTGTAAGCGAGGGACGGGAGAGGAAGTGGGAGGCGAGCGGCGAGGTGTTCTTTGCTCATCGTGGGTCTCTTTCTCTTTCACAGCTGGACCTACTCTTCGTCACACGGTAGGAGATCGCCCTTCTGTTGTGGGCTCGCCTTTTCTCTTTCCTCTGTTTCATACGGCTCTCGGAATGTTCTAAAAGAGAAGGCGGATCGATTCACGCTTCATTAACAGAATCTAGAGGCTCCTTAAATTTTGTGAAAAATCTTAATGTCTTAATGTGTCCTGCCTTGCCTTTGGGTGACATTTACCACCTTGTACATCTTTCTGTCTCTGTCGCTGTCTCTCTCCATCTCCCTCCCTCTCCCTCCCTCCCATTTTCTCCCTCCGTCCCCGCCCCCCCCCCCTTCATGCAGTTTAGGCTGACTTTGAAGTCACTATATAGCCCAGGCTGGCCTCGAACTCGTGGCGATCCTCCTGTCTGACCCGAGTGTTGGAATAGCAGGCGTGCACCACCCCGGGCGGGCCTCGCTCTTAACGAAAGTTTTTCCACTTGGTTTCCAGGTCATTACATACAAGAGTAGTTCATCTTTAACCTCTTGCGCCAGCACTTACCCTTCCTTCGAATCCCCCAGCCTCTTAACTACTGTCCCTTGCACCTTCTTTCTACCTACACTTAGTGGTGACTTTCCATCCAGCCTTATAGTATTTAAATACCCTATACTGGGCCAGGGATATAGCTCAATGGCACAGCACCTGCCTGGCAAGCGTGTGGTTGTGAGTTTGATTCTGGGTCCCAAAATCAATCAATACCATATACTGAAGGCTTCCAAATTCCAGGCCAGACTCATTCCAGATTCTTGACTCACGTACCAGATACCTTCTTGACAGATTATTTTGAATGTTTGCTACGCATTTCAAACTTAACTGTGTCCAAAATCCCAAGTGTTACTCCCACTATACTTATCATCTTACCACTTCAGTAAATAATAACCGTATCTTCACAACTCGTTAGCCCAAAACCTTGGAGCTGTTCTTCTTAACAGCTCTTAACTCTGTCCTGCCCCACCCCAAACCAGTATACCAGCAAATCTCAGTGGCTTTAAATATCTGCCAGGTCTATCCACTTTTTCCTATATCTGCTGCACCCACCCGAATCCTCTCCATTCCTACAGGCAGTGTGATCCTGATAGAAACTAAAGCTAGATCATGTCCTTTCTTTGCCATAATGGCTTCCCATTTCATAGTAAAAGTGGGCATGTAGGAAAAGGATTGTTTTGCCCTGTTGGACAGATCCACATAACCTCTAACCTGTTGTCACCTCAGCCACAATAGGACCCTTCTGTGCTGTCACGTTTCTAGACCTTTGAAACTACCCTGTTCTCTACCTGGAACTTTTGCCGCATACACAGGCTTTGATTCCACCCTGCAAATGTTACCTGATGAAGCCTTTTTCTAGCCACCTTACATAAAATTACAGTGTCACCATCCACACCCTTTAAACCCTTTTCCTATCTTTTATTCCCAGTACTAAACATTTAATGTTATTTGTATTGTCCGTGTCCAGGAATTGTCCTTTTTTCACTGATATAGCACCAGTACCCAGAACAGCATCTGGCACTTAAAATACGTAAATATGACTGAATTTTACATTTGGCAGAGCTGTTGTAAGCATGTTCTTTGCTCTTTTGTAGTGCTGTTGAATTTAGAACTAAGCACAGCGCTGAACAGTAGGTACTCACTAAATACTGATTGTATTGTTTTAAAAAACAAAATCACAGTGCAGTTTGTTAATTTGTGGAAAATTTGTTGGTAAAATGGACAAGACTTAATTGCCTTTTTTGTTTTACATAGTAGCAAGTAATAAACCAGGTAGCAAAGCTTGGGTCCTGCTTCTCATTTGCTGAAAGGAGTGAGTGGATGCAATTACAGGATTTTACAGAATAAATTATTGCTTTATTTGTGTAATTTTAGATGACAAGAGCACTTTTGAAGAAACGTGTCCGTATTGTTTCCAGTTGTTGGTTCTGGATAACTCTCGAGTGCGCCTCAAGCCCAAGGCCAAACTGACACCCAGAATACAGAAACTTCTTAATCGAGAAGCTAGAACTCATACACTTAGTTTTAAAGAAGCAAAAATCGTGAAAAAGTACAGAGACTCCAAAAATGTATTGGTAAGATTTCAGTTCTGGTATATTAGAATAATTTATATTTTTCACTTAAAGTTAAGTGTCAGCCTATCTGTAATTCAGATTTATAACCGTATATGTGAATTATTGACATAAATTATTTTTCCCCAGTAGTTAATGTTTCCTCAAGAGTACATCTTTTGAAAATTTTTTTCTATAACCTAAAACTAAATAGTTTGAGTTCTTCTCATGGTTGAGCACAGTTATTTTCATAAATTTGAGAATTTCTTGAGCTGACCAGTATGACTGTATTTGAATTGCAGTTATGAATAAGTTCAGTTAATGGTCCTTTCCTTTACACAGCTGTACTTTATGTATGCAGGTAGCCAGTCAGTATATGCTTACTAGTATGCCAAGCAAAGATGAGTACATGTGGTTTTCATTAGGCATTTTTTAAGGATCTTTTGTGCCAGTTAGTATTGGAGATACAAAATTGAATGAAGTAAAATCAGATGACTATGAATTAGTAGATAGAAACCAGTATCAGATACATTTTGTGTCCTGTACAGTCTGTGTTAACATTTAATAACTATTCATGTACATACCTGCTCTTTGGCAAGCACTGTGCAAGGTCCTGGACATTATGACAGCGTAAGTCCAGCTTAAACTTATAATTAATAACTTGGATTGAAAATTGCCATATTAGCTGGCCGTGGTAATATACCACAGTAATCCTAATCCCAACACTTGGTAGGCTGAGGCAGGAGAACTGCCACAAGTTTGAGACCATCCTGGCCACATAGTGAATTCAAGATCAGCTTGAACTGCACAGTGAGTCGCTGCCTCAAAAGTCAAAACAGAAGAAAATTGCCATATTTAGGAGTTTACCCATATTAGATAGAAATTTTGTTTTGTCATAAAATCAAATGCTTAAGGGGGTAAGAGAGAAGAAATAGGATGTTAACGTAAATATAATTCACTGTTGTATCTCCTCAGAAAACTACTATTTGGAAAATGTTCCTAAATAGGAAGATAAAGATGATTCTTCTTCTTCTTCTTCTTCTTCTTCTTCTTCTTCTTCTTCTTCTTCTTTTTTTTTTTTTTTTTTTTTTTTTTTGCCTTCATGAAGCTTACATTCTAATATTTTAAACAGAGATCAGCCATAAGGGTGAAGGAATATTTTACTCTTTAATTTATGTACAGCCACATTATAAAAAGTATAAATAAAGCAACATAGGCCTTTGATATACGCAGATCTTCCATTTACATCAGCTGATGAACATCTAAATACGTCTCACCTCAACTAGTGTATAAATTCTGCCAACTCAGGTATTTTACATCTAAGTGTCTTGCCGTTAATTTTGTATTGAAAACTTTTACTTTAAATTTGTCTCGTGATTCCTGCTGCTATATTCAAGCTGCCAGAGGGCAGCCTTTGCGTTGCTCACCTGTGTAGCACTCTGACATAAAAATTCAGGAAATAGATCATTTATTGGATAAAATTACAAGAGAACTCAAAGGCCCAATATTTCTTCTTTTTTATGGAAGTCGATTACTTGTAAGACTTGCAACAGAACAGTTAAACATCATGGTAAAAGTAGAAGCTTTCTGTCAGCGTTGAAGAATGTTCCTGCTACTCCTACAAGTAAACTCGGCCCAAAGAGACCAGAAAAAAAGACTTCAAGCTCCACAGATGTATCTGATTCCAAAGGCCAGAGCCCAGCGTTCATTTTCAGGTATCTTAATTCACTAACTTTGAGTTGCCACACTGACTCTTCTAATTTTCTTTATTTAATATAAACTAAATATTCCATGCAGATCAGGTGTTTATCCCTTTTTTGCTCCGTATCTTGTTCTCTAATGTCCCACAATCCATTGTCCTCAGCTGTCATCTGAAAGCATATGACTTCTAGTTCTGTTACTTTTCAGTCTCTCCTTGGGCTGTTTTCAGCTGCTGATAAATATTACCCAACTCCTTGCATATCCAAAATTTAGTTTAGAGAGGCGAGAAGAGAATAAATTACTGTGGAAATCTGTAGTTGAGTACGGATTTGTCAAGTGATAAGAAACTATACATATGACTAGGCACATGTTTGTAGTAATCCTCAAGATTTCAGTCACCGTGGTAGCCTGTACATGTAATTCTATAGAAACAAAGAAATTTTGGAACATTTTGTTACAAAGAGAAAGCTGAAGTCTAACTTTGTCTATTTTCTTAATTTTATTTCAACATTTCATATAAAAATTCCTCATAGAAAATTTTACTTTGTTGGATGACTATAAAAGAAAGTTTGGCTCATTTAAAACAGTTTAGTTGCCTTCAGACCAGGCTATTGTCAGCCTTGCATAGGATCTGCATCTGCAGGTTATCCAATCCTAGATCAGAATATTTAGAAGAATAAAACCTATGTCTATGGAAGATGTGCAAGCTTTTTTTCTTGCCAGTATTCCCGAAACATAGCAACTATATACAACAGTATGTGTGTTGTATTAGGTATTACAGGTAATCTAGAAATGAACTAAACTACAGGAATTGTGAATACTATGCCATTTTATATAAAGGATTTGAGTGCCTGTAGATTTTGGTTTCTGGTGGGGGAGCGGGGGTCCCCAGAACTAATAACTCCATAGATACCAAGGAATGGTTGTGCTTTTTAATATGCCCAGAAGTGGGAAGATCCTGCACGTTTATCACACAGGCAGGTTTCTGTCTGATACCAGCTTGAGGAAAAGGGATAAGACTGACGAACTCCAGGTGAGGGTAGAGAAGCATGGGATGCAGTTGGAAGCAATGAACTACAGTAGGCCTGGATGAGGATCCATGGATTCAGCAGGTGTTTCTAGAGCACCTCTTAGATGCCTGTATGGTTAAAGCACTGGAATATACAGTTAATAGGATAGTGTCTGCCCTGTGGAGCTGACATCCAGTGGAAAAGGTAGAGCAGAATGATACCTGTACGAGTACATGCCAGTCCTTCACCTTGAAAAAGTAGTGATCTTGAGCTGTGAAGGAGGAGTGTTTTAAAGTCCTTGCATGGAACTTTCATGACTCTTGATGGCAGGCTGAAAGGAAACTTAAACCTGATAACATACCACCTCTGTTAGTGGTGGCGAACCTGTGCCATGTGTGTTACTGTGTTTTTCTAAGACAGAAGATGTTACCGTGTGAGGGGTTTTTTGTTTTTTTTTTTTTTTTAAAGTAAAACATCAGTATTCAGGTTTAATTGCAGTGTTGAGTTATTGTAGACCCACTTTGTAATAATTAAGTGGGTTTGGGGTTGCACTTTGGAACTTGGTCTCTAAGAGCTTTGCCATCATTACTTTAGGCTCATCTTAAAGACCACCCCATGTACCTCCTAAATGCTGCCTGAAGCCTAATACTCCATGAGATTTTTAAAAGTGGGAATGACAGCCCATATACAGCAGTAATATGAGAGAGTAGAAAATTATTCTGGTAGCAATTATAGAAAAGGTATTATTTATCAGTATAACCTGTTTGTTTGTTTGCGTGTGTGTGTTTTTCCCTCTTTTCAGAACACCTCCATCTGGCCAGTCAACACCCATTTGCTCCTCAAAGAGTGGGAGCAAAAGAAAGAAACACTTCTCTCAGCTAAAAATGCTGCTCAGTCAGAGTGAATCCCAAAAGGATCCAAAAGTAGACTTCAAAAGTTTCTTATCTTCACTGTGAAGACTGGACTTTGAAAATATGAGATGTCTACTGTAATTTTTCTTTCTTTCTTTCTTTTTTGGTGGCACTGGAGGTTGAACTCAGGCCTTGTGCGTGCCCAGCAGGCACTCTACAGCCTGAGCTGAAATCACAACCCCAGTCTACTATGATTTCAGAACCTACAATTAGTAAAACAGTTTGTTTTTTTTTTTACTTTTATTTATTCTTTGAATAAATGGAAACTAGACTCAGGAACAAACTTTTCTTGGCGTCCTTCAGTGTTTATGGGGGAATCTGTCATTAGAATGAGTAACTGTCTCACAGGGTGCATGTGGGGATTGAAGCACATGAAAGGTGCTTCTCTTCCTTTAGTTTTAGCACTGTTTGTTATTTGTCATTTTCTTTCAAAAGAAAATTGAAAGCTTCCGTGTGAAAGATGTGTTCACGCATGAAGGTTTATTCATGTGTCTGTAGCCTTCTTAATGCTAATTCAGAAAAAGAACCAAGAAAACCGACATCCTTGTTTCCTCACTGTCATGTACACAGCTACACAAGTACAATCTAAGCATTACACTGGCGCATCGGGTCACAGACGCAGTTCTCTCAAGAATTCTGGTCACAAACTGAATAGAGAACAGAATCAAATTTCCCCATGAGGTCAACACTGATCCTAACCATTGAGTATGCTTCAGTTCTCATCCAACTCGGTTTGCAACCAGAAGCATGGAGAGAATCAAGCTTCTAAACAAAAGTACCACTGTGTTCCTCTTTTGGATACAAAAGTAAATGTCTGGCACTTTCTTTTCAGTGCTGGGTCTTGAGCCCAGGGCCTCACACAAGCTAAGTAAGCACTCCACCTCCAGCCCAACATTCTTGATTATAAATGACTCAGTAAGACACTGGAATTTCTACTTTTACAGCTTGGTATTATTACTATATAATGTTTTACTTTAAAGTGGTATTTTAGTTTGCTCTGATGAGAATTATATCCAGTCCAAGAAATTATATCAAAGTATTACAACAGCTAGAAAGAACATACTGTTTTTAAAAAATGATAAACTAGGATTTTATTGAACATGTCTTTTAGAAAGCCCTTTAAAAAGGGGATGCTTGTACCTTGTTGGAGGTGTTATCAGTTAGTACAGCTATTTAAGAAAAACTGTAGACATTTCTTTAAAAGTATAATTACATGATCAGCAGTCCCATTTTCGAGTTATCAAGGAATTGAAGTCACTGTGTTGGAGAGGTGTCTGCACTCCCACCTTCATTGCAGTCTTAATTTACAATAGCTGAGAAATGGGAACAACCCAAGAACCCATCAGCTGACAAATGGATTTTTTTAAATGTGGCATGTATACATAATAGAATACATTCTGTTAAACCCCAGCACATGGGAGGCTGAGGCAGGAACATTGTTGGGAGTTTGAGACCAGCCTGGGCTACAAAGTGAGTATAAGTTCAGCCCAAACTACTAGTGAGACTGTCTCACAAAGATGTGTACACACACAAAGAATACGTTCTGTCTTTTAAAAACATTTGCTACAACATGAATGAACCTGGAAAACGCTATGCTGAATAAAAAAGCCAGGTAAAAAGAAATCTTGTTATATTTCATATACACATGGATCCAGAACAGCTGATCTTATAGGAGGAAATAACTATTTGAGGTAATAGATAATGTTACTTAGCATGATTTGTTCAATCTACAATATTTACATGTAATGAGACCTCATATTACAATAAATATATACAATTATTTGTCTATTAAAAATGGCACCAGAATTCAGTGGCTCAGGCTTTTAATCCCAGCACTTGAGAGGCTGATGCCGGAGGATTGCTGTGAGATCAAGGGCAGCCTGGCTACCAAGACCTTGTTCTTATAACAACAGAAATGTAAAAATAAAGTGAATGGCCAAGAGCTCCATGTAGTAAATCTTACAAAGGGTAATGAACAAGAAAGCAAAACGTAAAGTCATTTAAATACCCTGAATTCTAATTTGTTTCCAAGCCTTTCATCACTTGAAAGTTTAAAGCAAATTTTCATTTGAACTTGGCAAATTGACACACCAGGGTTAACCAGCTGTTCTTACATTTGTATAAACTTAACAAATACAAGTACCAAAACTAATGAACTGAGCTGGGCTTTCCCTGTGCCCACAGCGTATACCACCACTGTCAGTATTAATTAGGCTTCTGACAACTTGGGTTCATTAAATGCTCAGAAGCTATGGAAGAATTGTGCAATGGGTATTCTCAGGAAACGCTCTAACGTTCAGAGGTGACCCATCACACTTATCATTTAGTGTAGAAAAATTTTTCAGCTCGTGTTCCAATTCTCATCAATAAGAGTTGACAGTTCTGATTTTATTCATAAACAAGAGAAAGTTACAATGAAATGAGCATGTGTGACTATACTTGCCGACTGTTCTATAAAAGAACATGACATGGGGCTGGAGGTTTAGCTCAGCGGCATAAGCACCTGCCTTGCAAGCAGGCAGTCGTGAGTTCGATCCCCAGTACCAATAAAAAAAAGACCAAAAAAAAAAAGAATATGACATGAATAATGACAGAGTTCTTTGACACAGTTTCCAGAATCAAAACAATGGAAGAGTTTACAATGTTGAGTTTAAAGCTAGGTTTGATTTTGTTTGCTTCTTGTATCTTTTGATAGTCTTCTAGAGAGACACTTTTTTAAAAAATCAGAACACTTCTGCAAATAGTTCCTGAAGTCATGTTTCAGTTTTATCCTGAAAATAAAAATACATTGTGCAGAAGAATTTTTGAGGACATAAAATACAAATTACAGTTTTATTAAGTACCATGCAAAGAATCAAGTGTATACTTTTTAAACAATATCAAATGAGATTTCCAATATGAAGAATTTAAAAAGTGCTTATAGAATGCTGTCTAAATCCATGGCCTTCACTGAGTAATATTGCAAAGATGGAAAGCAAGTCCAACTTCTAAAAAAGCCAAATTGGGGGCGGGGGGAAGCAGATTATTTAAATCAAATTATGTTTAATAATGGATATAACTTTTTCTAATAAAACTAGTTTATCAAATGACAGCAAGATTTAGTCTCTTCATTTTTTTACCTCAATGTGTTTAAAAATCTATTAACTGCCAAAAATATTAGTGAATATTTTATTTCATATGACTATGAACTATACTTGAAAATAAAATTATAGGGCCAGGATATAGCTCAGCTGCACAGCACCTGCCTGACAAGTGTGAGGTTGTGAGTTTGATTCCCAGCACCAAAAAAAAAAAAAAAAAAAGGAAATTGTCCATTGTGCTTAATTGTTTAAGAAACAATTGTTTTGATCTATGAGAACTTAATTTTGGGGCTGGGGGTATAGTTTAGCAGCACAGTGCCTGCCTGGCAAGCACAAGATCATGAGTTCAGTTCCCGATACCAAAAAAAATTTTTTTTATTGGTACCTTTTAGATAATACATATTGATCACTTTCACGGTAGGAAATTTGTACCTGTACGCAATATACCTTGTTTCTTCTTTTTACCTCAATCCTCTCCCTTCCCTTTAATACCTCTTCCCCTCCTTATTTACAAAACTTTTACCATTTTTTAACATAATTTTTTATTTTTATCTTTTTTTAATTTTTGGTACCGAGGATTGAACTCATGCGCATTTGCAAGGCAGCATTTATGCTGCTGGGCGTAAATCCCCGGCCCATACCATTGTTTTCTCTTTCCCTCTTCCTTGTTCCCCTTGCCATTTGAACATTTTCTTCCTGTTTCCCAATGTCCATTGTACATTTTTGTCTTTATTTACTCCTTTGGTTTCTCACATCAGAAAAACAATGCAGTATGTCAACATGTATGTTCAATTTATTTCACTTAAAAGTATGGACTCAAAGATATTTACCTAGAAATATCTTAAATTTATCTTTCTTTATGGTAAAATAATACTGCATTATATTAAATAAATATGTAAATAAACCACACATCTTTATCCATCTGTTGATGGGCACTTGGACTGTTTCCAAGATTTGACTTACAAACTTTGCCACTATAACCACGATGTACATATATCGCCATGGTATGATATTTTTAATTCTTTCAAGAAGATAAGAAAGGGAATAGATGGGTCAAATGGAATGTCTAGTGCCAGAGATATAGCTCAGTGGCCCAGCACCTACCTGGCAAACACAAGGGCCTGGGTTTGATTCTCCATACAAAAAAAGTGCCAGATGGAACCCCTAATTTTAGTTTTGTTTTTCTTTTAATAAGACTTTTTGGTACATTTTAGATATACATAATGATCACATTGATCATAGTTTGTACCCAACCATGATGTAACTTGGTTCTTTTGTTCCCTTCCTCTACCTTCCATTCAACCCCACCTCCTCTCCCCATTTACCAAAGTTTAGTTTCCATCTTTTGCTTCTCACTTTTTTTTACTTTCCCCTGCTTTCCTTTCTCCCTCCCATGTCCTTTGTTCCCCTCCCCATTTGAACATTTTCCTCCTATTTCACAGTGCCTATTGTATATTTTGGTCCTTATTTACACTTTTGGTTTCTCACATCAGGGAAACAATGTATTGATACATGTATCCATTTATTTCACCTAAGAGTATGGTTTCAAGGCGTGCATCCATTTACCTAGGAATGTCTCAAGTTTGTCCTTTATGGTAGAGTAGTACTCCATTGTATTAAAACACCACATCTTTATCCATTCACCTCTTGATGGGCTGATTTCACTTCTTGATGGATTCATTTCTTGGTAATTATCCTTCTTCCTGGGGCAAGATGCAATCTCAGCTTTGTTTTAATTAGCATCTCTTGCATGACTAGTGATGTTGAACATTATATATTCATTGGCAGTTTGTATTTCATCTGAGAAGCGTGTATTTGTCTCAGATGCCCATTTTTTTTAAATAGCCTTTTTTATTTTTAATCGGTACCGGGGATTGAACTCACAACCGCCTGCTTGCAAGGCAGATTCTTATGCCGCTGAGCTAAATCCCCAGCCCCTAGATGCCCGTTTTTTATGAGTCTTTAAATCTGAAAGGACTGATTTTTTTTAGTTCTTTATATATTCTCCATAGTAATCATTTGAGGAACAGCTGGAAAGCATTTTTTCCCACACTGCAGGTTGTCTCTTCACTCTGTTAGTGGTTTTTCTTGCTGTGCAAAAGTAGGGTGAGATTCCATTTGTTGGTTCTTTGCAATAGTTCCTGAGCAGTCTGGGTTCTGATCGTAAAGTCTTTGCCTACACCAATGTCTTTAAGAGTTTTAC